AAAGTGGACTAGAGGCAGGAGACAAGGGGGGAGGCAATGAGGGAAGAGAATGCCTATCCAAAATGAATGCGTTCACTTACCAAAGCAACAGGTCTGACTCGCAAAGCGGGTAAGCAGAGCGGCGACCAGGAAAAAAGCAGGCTGACTCACAGGGCGATCCCAGTGGCGCCAAAGGGAGGTCCGGCCGGACATAAAAAGTGAACGTTCCTGAGGAGGATTGGAGAGTGGAGACCACGGTTGGGCGCCAGTTATGCCCCGACCTGCAGGGCACGCTTCGTGGGTACACCGCACCAAATCCTGCAAAGGAATGAGAGGATAGGAGACTCGAAGAAATGGAGGCAAGACAAAGTTCTGATCAAGCCTCAGTTTTATTTTTACAGCGGGTGGTATTTATGTTGTTTCTAGAGGAAGGGGGTGGGCAAAGGAAGTCGTTAAGGATATAACAGGCTTTGGAATGTCGCAGCTTATCAGCGGAGATGTAGCTTGCTTTGTGCTTAGGGTGAGGGTATGTTATCTTTTAACTCCAGGCTAAATCGCAAGGTTAACTTTTAACTCCAGGCCAAATCGGGAGTTGGCTTGGAGGAGCCAGAAACCTCTTGTTGTAAGCTGGAGATGTATATGTGATTTATAATGGCTCCCAACAGTGATCCCTCTGGTAAGTCTAGCACCCACCTAGCACAATCCATAGTTATCACAATACTATTGTCTATGTTCCCTGTGCTGTACTTTATGTCCTTGTGACTGTTTTGTAACTGCCAACCTGTACTTCTTCATCTTTTCACTCCTTTTACCCAGTTCCCCAAACCCCGCCCATATGACAACCACCAGTCTGTTCTCCGTCTACGAGTCTGTTTCTGTCTCTCCCTGGCAGACAGACACTCCCCTGCTTTTCACAGCTGGATGTTATGTGGGTGCCTCTTCCCGGCTCTGGTGCTCTGCACTGGGGAGTGGGCCTGGGGTTTAGACCGGATGCTTCTCAGGGGGACCCCCACAGCTGAGATATCCCTCCGGAACCTCAGCCACTGGCTGTGGGAGGGGGACCAGCGTTTTCTCCTCTCTGCCCTTTGTACCAGCCTCAGTGGTCTATTCTGTAAACCTCTGGTGAGAAGACTTCTCTTCAGCTCGTCTTCAGTTGGTTGTTCAGGACGATTGCTGTTTCATTTAGTTGTAATTCCAGTTTGGTCCTGGGAGGAGGTGAGTGTAGCTTCAGCCTTCTCCTCTGCCATCTTGAACGTCCCACTATCCCGACCTCTTTAGCGAGGGATTAGTTTTGCCTGTTGGTGGACTTCAGAGAGATGAAACCATACAGTACAGTGCTTGCTGCCGTACAGTGCATGCTTTTACGTTTGGCTTTTCTCATTTCACTTCATGTGCAGATTTGCCCATGCCTTTGTATGTAGTAATTGTTCATTACCCTTTGGTATAAATACTCCGTTGTGTAAATAGAGCACGCATATTTATCTGTTCTTCCGTTGGTGGGCATTGGTGCTGTTTGCAGTTTGGGGCTTATTATGAACGGTGCTTCTGTCGTGTGGTGAATATAAGTGTGCAATTCCTTCTACTGGGCATAAGATTAGGGAGTGGACTTGCTGGGTCAGAAGGATACATATGTTTAGTTGTTAGTACATCTTACTTATTATTGTTTAAAACTTGGGTTTAAAGTCCCCTACACTTTGATCATCTTACTGGGGCAGGTTGGGCTAGATCAGGAGGCTAAGAGCTGGAGACTATATCAGAAATGCTGGGCCCTGTCTGTGTGGCTCAGTGGTTAAGCATCAACCTATTCACCAGGAGGTCACGGTTCCATTCCCCATCAGGGCACATGCCCAGGTTTCGGCCTCAATCCCCAGTAGGGGGCGTGCAGGAGGCAACCCATCATGGATCACTGATGTTTCTATCTCTCCCTCCCTCTTCCTTTCTGAAATCAGTAAAAATATATTAAAAGAAAAAAAGAAATGCTGGAGTACACCCCCAGGTCTCTCCTTGTCAGATACCTCCCCAGAGCAGGCCAGGCCAGGCCAGCCTGGCACATACCACCAGTCTCAGTAGCACATAAACTTAGGGAGCTCAGAAGGGGTGTATTCTGACCATCAGGGACTTTAGGGAGACCCCAGCTCTGCCTGTGCCTGACTCATTGATCTCAATGGGCTTTCTCTTCAGTCACCTGCCTAGCTGTTGAAGATGCTGAGTGCCAGGCACCTCATCTCTGGATCGGGATGGGGGCTGGATGGAGCACCAGAAGCCAGGACAGTTCCTCCTACCTCCTCTCCCCCGGTGCAGAGCAGGGAAGAGCAGGGAGGCCGCGTGCTTAAGAACCACTGGAGAGCCCCTAGAAGCCAGCTCAGGGCCTCCCCTCCTCAGTCCCATCGGACCTGGGGTCAGGCAGGGGCCAGGCTACCCACCTTGGCGCCTGCAGGTCACCCCTCCGTCCCCACCCCCAGCCACTGCTGGGGGAAGAGGGATTTCAGCACAGCCTCACTCCCTTAACCCAGCCCAGCGGTAAGGAGACAGCTCTGGCTCCCTGGTCACTGCAAGGAAGCCTGGAGGGGCCGGACTGAGTGAGGGTCACCTTTGTCGTGAGCCCTGGCAGGCTGGCTCCCTCCTCCCGCTGTTGGCCTTGAGGTGAGGCTGTGTGTCTCCATTCTGATCTTACTGTTCCATTATGGGGCAGTTCAGGGGCAAGGAGAGGCTAAAAAGATACCCGCAAGACAGCCTGTGCCCCCAGTTACTTCTGCTTCCACCCTGGTCTGTGAGCTTCTCCACGAAGTTGGAAGTGAAAAAAGATGAGCACAGGGAAGGGGCCTTCCTGCCAGCGTCGTCGCTGACCCCGAGGGCAGCCCCTGGCCGCCTGGGCGGGCCCTGCGTTAGTCACCGGGGCGTCCTGCAGACCAGCATGGGCGCTTGGAGACCTCAGAGCAGAGATGTCCAGAGGGGCTTCCCCGGGGTGATTGAATTCTGGAGGGTGACCTCAGGCGGGCAGGCTTGGCCGGACAGTGAGGGTGAATGGGGGGAGTGCGGGTGCCCTGAAGGTGGCTTGTAGGAAAGCCTTGCCATTTGCTGGGTAGGAATTCTAATACTCTTCATTGAATACCCACAATTCATGATTATTCACGAATGAATTCATCAATTCAGCACATAATCCCAAAGCAGGACTCCAGCGGGGCCACATGAGCAGCCAGAGGCGTCTGCTCTGAATGTGGGAGCCGGAACCAAGTCCAGGTGTGGAACCAGACTCCAGGGTGGCCGGCAGGTGAGATCTGTGCCAATGGTGTGGTTTGAGGGATAGGTGATGAGGGTGCACGGAGGCACTTCATTCAGGGGCAGATGCCCTGCCCTGTGGGAGCAGGGGCAGGTCAGCAGGGGGAGAGCCCGTGGTTCTGAGCCGAGGGCAGCTGGTCAGGGCCCAGGACACAAAGCCAGTGCCCCGCTGTGTGGGGCTGCTTTCCCCGGGGTCTGCGATTTGAGGGAAGAGCCCTGCTCAGCTGTCGTTCTGCTCCTGCAGGTTTGCAGGCCCCTTTTCTGCTCCGAGGGGGCCAGGGTCTTCCTCCTTTGCCCTCCTGCCTGTTGGCATCACCCAGGGAATGCTCAGGGCTAAGATGAGCCACCTCTATGTTTGCCCTTTCCCTTCACAAGGTTCTCTCCTGGCCGGGGTGACTGAGGGGTGACTGAGGGGTGACTGAGGGGTAACTGAGGGGTGACTGAGGGGTGACTGAGGGGTGACTCAGCGTCCAGCTGGCCCAGAGCCCTCATCTTTGTTAGGGAACACGGAGCAGCCATTGCTATTCAGGTAAACAAAAATGAAAGTGATTGCGATGCCTGGTCAGGTGGGGCCACCATGCTCTCTGGGCCTGTGCATCCCTCTGTGGAATTGGACTCGGGGCCCTGGGTTTACGTCCTACCCAGCGGTAGGGTGCTGGTTGAGTCATGGTCCACGGCCCGTTTTGCAGGCGCACCAGACTGAGCTCAGTGTGTGCCAGGGTGCGGCGGGAGGTAACAGGTGCTCGGAGGAGCTCACGGCCTGGGCAGGAAGGGCTCACAGGACCTCAGTGGAGGGAGGCAGCATGACAGAGCGTGTGGGGAGTGAGTGTGTCCACTGATCAGGGGCTAGTACAGGATCCTTTTAGTTCCATTTTATGGCTCTACTAGAGGCCCAGTGCACGAAATTTGTGCACTTGGAAGGGGCCCCTGACCCCGGCCTGTGCCCTCTCGCCGTCTGGGAGCCCTTGGGGGATGTCCGACTGATGGCTTAGGCCCGCTCCCCACGGACATCCTTAGCGCAGCAGCAGTGGCTCTGGCTGAGTGGTACTCCCCTTATGGGAGCGCACTGACCACCAGGGGGCAGCTCCTGCATTAAGCGTCTGCCCCCTGGTGGTCAGTGCATATCATAGCAACCTGTCATTCTGCTGTTCGGTCGATTCGCATATTAGCCTTTTATGATATAGGAGTGGCTAGACCCTGAACTAACCTCTCAGAGAAATATGATTTTGAAAAGTTGAAGTGATGCCTACTTGCCAAGGACCTTGTCATCCATTTCCAGAGCAGACACCCCTGGAGGTCAGGATGACCTTGCTCCTGGTAGCAGGGAGCCTGCTAGGTTCTGTCTAGTGTGTGAAGTTAGGGGTGGGGGCTGCTCCTGTAAGAGACTGAGGAAAGTGGAGGAAGACTCCCCCCCAAGCCAGGGGCCAGTGTAGCAGGGTCCCCTCTGGATGAACAAGGGGTTCTGTGGAAAGTAACCTCACAGGGTGATCTGATCCTGAGTCCCTAACTGGGTGCTCATGGTGGGTAGGCCTGCCCCAGGCCTATAACTTCTGTAGTAAACAGTCTGTCTTTACCGTAAGCCAGCCCTGTCCATTGTTCTTGTGCATCTAGGTTAGCACACCTCTGGGATGCCAGAACACCGCCCTCAGGAAAGCACATACTCTTGTTAGTTATCCTGTAATCCACTCCCCTCCACGCCATCTTCCTTAGCGCTAATGCACAAAAGAAACCAAGAAACTGTCTCCAGAGCACTTGCGATCTTTCTTCGTGGCATGTCAGCAATTTGATTAAAATAAATTCATAAAAATTCTCTACAGGTTTGGGTGGTCTATGTCAGATCACATCTGCCAGTCAGTGCAAGGCGCTTCCAGGCCCCCATCACCCCACAGAACAGCTTCTTGGTCTGCGAACTTCTGTCAGTAGAGGAGCCGAGCACCCCTGTTCCCACTGAGCTCTGGGAATTATGGGGGTCGCTCTCCACCTGCAGGGAGGAAGGAGGAAGGTGACCCCAACCTGCTCCTGGTTCCCACAAAACCAGGTGGTGACTCCCAGGAGTGCCCTTACCCCGCCCTCTCTGCCTGGCTTCAGAACGAGGAGGGAGCGGGCTGAGGCCAGGCTGCAGGAGAAACCCCGGTCCTAGTGCCCGGCCCCCATCTTTGGTTCTAAGGCACCACCATCATGCTGGGAGCACCTGGGGCTTCCTCTCCAGAGCCCGCCCATCCCACAGTCACCTGGGGCTTGTTCGTAGGATTCCGTGCTCCTGGCTGTGGGAAAAGACACAAAGCAAGAGGTGAGGTGAGGTGAGTGGGGGCCCGGGTCTTCTTTCTCCCTCTCCCCCCTCTAGGCCCTTCCCAGCTCAGCAGTCTCCCCTGGCTGGGGGTCCTCGGGCCCTAGGACGGGGTGTGGCTGTGGGCAGGGGCAGGCTTAGCAGTAGCTGCTGCTCACCAGAAGGGAAAAGTTGCAGCTGAAGGGATGGAGCAGTGTATCCCCCTGTGAGACTGGACCAGCCCGAGGGCCTCCCACCTTGATTCCACCCCACCTACCTCGAAGGCGTGTCCTGGTGAAGACCACAACTCCAACCACCAGCACCAGCAGGATAGCGCAGGTAACCACGGCAACGAATTCTTGACGAGGGGCCGGTTCTGAGGTAGGTGGAGAAAAGGAGGCACCCCCGGGACCATGGGTCTATCTCTGAGGGCCCTGGGACCCTCCCTGCCCTCATGGCCCCCACCAGCCACGCCCAGCTCCTCACCCCAAGCCACAGTGAGCGTGTGGTTCAGGCCGGAGTGCTGCACGCGGCAGGTGTAGCCAGCCTCCTCCCCGGCCTGCAGCCACACAGCAGCCCATGTCTGGTAGGTGCCGTCCCCGCTGGGGCGCGTCTCCATGTGCTCCGTCTCCAGGCCCAGCTCCTCCTCCCCCAGCCACCAGCTCAGGGAGATCTCCTGTGGGTAGAAGCCCCGGGCCCAGCACCTCAGGGTGGTGCCCCTGCCTTGGATCGTGTGCCTTGTCACCTGCACCGTGGGCGGCTCTGCAGAGAGAGGTGGAGGGAGGAAGGCTGGTGAGTGGCCACTCTGCCTGTCCCCTGTGCTTGATCCCAGGCCCCTCCAGCACCTTCCATGGTGGAGGGCAGGGAGGGGATGAGGACAGGGCTCTCTCCAGGGGGGCACTCAACCCATGTTGGAGGCAGGGACAACCTTTTGTCAACCATTCCAGAGGGGCCCGGTCCTGGGAATTCCCATGGCGGGGATGTGACTTCCTGCCCTCACCTCCAAGGGAGTCCTGGGTGGGGCCCTTGGGTCCTTTATATATATTTTAAAACAGATCTTTATTGATTTCAGAGGAAGGGAGAGGGAGATAGAAACATCCATGATGAGAGAGAATCATTGGTCGGCCGCCTCCTGCACGCCCCCTGCTGGGGATCGAGCCTGCAACCCAGGCATGTGCCCTGACCTGGACCTCCTGGATCACAGGTCAGGCTCAACCACTGAGGCACACCAGCAGGGCTATTGGGTCCTATATTGACACCACCCGCTTCATGCCACGGAGACCCTAGGGATTTCTTAGAGACTGTATATACTTCCCCGTGACCTCCTGCACACAGCAGGTGCCGAATAAGGTTGTTGAATGCCGCCCCTTCCCTCGCCTCAGAACAAGCATGGTGTGAGCATGGGCTCTGGAGCGGGGCCGCCTGGGTCCTATCCACCGCCCTCTGCCTCGCAGGCCCTCATGGGGACCCGTCGTTTCTTCCTCCCAGAGTTGTTCTGAACGACATAATCTAGGTGCACGGTTCATTTTATGTGTCAGTATGACTGGCCATGGGACACTTGGTCAGGCAGTTTTCTGGGGTGCTGAGGGTGCTTCTGGGTGAGAGTCACACTTGACTCTGAGGACTCAGTAAAGCAGACGCCCTCCCCAATGTGGTGGCCTCATCCGATGCCCCGAAGATCTGCACAGGACAGAGGCCGCCGCGAGGGGACCCCTGCCTGGCTGCTTGCACCGGGACACTGGTCTTTCCTGTGGTCACTCCCCGTGGGTCGAGCCTGTCCACATTTGGCCAGAACTGTGCCATCGGCTCCCCCAGTTCTCCAGCTGGTGGACTGCAAGCATCCGTGACCACACGAGTCAATTCCTTATGTTACACCTCTTTCTCTTTATAGCTACAAACCTGCTGGTTCTGTTTCTGTTTCTGTGGGTAACTTGCCTAATTTCCCAGGAAAAGGAGGTAGAACCTGGTGCTGAATGGAGTTCAACACCACTCATTTAACAGAAATGTGGTGCCGCAGGGATGCGTGGGCGAGACCCCCCAACCCCCCCCCATTACACTGATGAGGAAACTGGCACGTCCGGGAGCCGCTGTGGGTCTGGAGGCTGGCCCTAAACCCCCGAGCTCTAAACCCCATGCTCTCTCTCTAACCAGTCTTCTCCCTAACCTTCCTTTGGGGACCGTCTTCTCCATTACCTCAGCCTATTCTCGTCCCACCACTCAGTGAGTAGACATCCCTGGTGTGCTGAGCGCTCGACCAGCCCCAGTCCCAGCAGCCTGCGGTCTCTACCCTCGCACCCCAAGCACCCCCCTTCCTCAGTGTCCACCCCAGCCCTCTATCTCAGCCCTGAGGCCAGGGTCAGGGGTCTGGGAGGCACCAGGTCTGGGGAGCATGCTTAGCATGAGGCTGTGTGGAAGGAGGGGCGGAGCGTCCCCAGCAGTCCTGCCGGTCCTGGGAGTGGTGACGGACGCTGTCCCCGGGGCCTGAGGTACTTTCCCAAGGAGCAGAACCACAGGATGTTAAACCCCAAAAGGACTTTATGAGCCACCAAGTGCCATCCATTCTCTCTCCAGATGAAGAACACGAGGCTGAGTTGGGGGGTTATTCTCCACGACCACCCTTGGACAGGGGTTCCGGAACTCCTCCCGGTCCACCTCCCCTGGGGTGAGGGCCTGAGCCGGGTCCTCTCTGCTCTGGCGACTGGCCATCTTCCTGGGCCCCAGCGGATGCCCCCCACCCCCCACCCCGACCCCCCAGGCTGCTTTGCCAAGTGGGACAGCCACGGAGAATGGGAGTGCAGGGCCCCTGCACCGCCTCAGGCTGGGCCTTACCTCTGCGGGTGAGGCTCGGGCCTCCCAGCTCCAGATACCTGCGCAGGGAGGCCAGGCAGAGGCCTTCCAGGTAGGCCTTGTCATACTCGGCGTAGCAGCGCTCCGACTCCCACCAGCGCTTGGTCCGCACGGCCATGGGCTCGGCTGACACCCAGCTCAGCGTCTCCAGGTCCAGCGACAGGTGGTCCCGCCCATCAAAGCCAAACTGCCAGAAGCTGCTGGAGCGGCCGTCCTCCTGGATTTCACAGCCGAACATGCGCTGAGCGCTGTGCGTGCCTGGCACGCGGGCAGGAGGCCACGGTTAGAGCGGGTGGTGGGCTGGGGCGGAGTCACTGTCCTGTCACCCACTCCCCTCCAGGTCATCGTCCTTAGTTCCTTCCTTAATGCTAAGGGGCCTCCTGAGTGCTGGGGGCAGGGCAGGGCCCCGGGCAATTTGGATGAGCAGCTCGGGCCGAGAAGACTGATGGGCCTTTCATGTGGGAAGAACGCTCAACACATGGATATTTTCTGTGCTCACGAGCAGGAAAAGATTTGGCTCCTCATGGGTGTAAGATGCCCCTGCCTTTAGAAGGCGGAAATGTGAAAGCTGTGCACCTGGCTGGTCACTCTCCCCGGAGGGCTGGCCTTGCTTCTGGGGGCCCTGGGCTGAGCTGACCCTTCCCAGTCTCGGTCCTTTACACCTGGCCTTGGAGCCTTTGTATCCGGTGGGAGTCCCGGCCCAGGCGGGAGGGCACAGTATGAAGGAGCCCACCCCGACGTGCACGTCCGCAGCCCTGGCCGTGGGTGTGAGCTCACTGCTGCGGGGTGAGGAGGCCGAGGGTGGGAGAAGTGCTCCCGTCCTTTGCTGACATTGGGCGGATCCGGGGTCCTCCTCAGGGTCTGTCTCTGACCCTGGGCTGTCTGCCCAGTTCAAGTTCATCTGGCCTCCCTCCCCTCCCTATGGTGCCTGGGGGTGGGTACGATTTGAAGCATTTGGGATGGGTGAGGCCAGGAAGGGCGCCCAGCCTGCTGAGGTCTGGAACCCTAGCTAGCTGAGGGGGTGGCTTCGTGGGCTCCCAGCTCCTGTGGGTGCTTCCTGCACTGGCCCGGGGGCCAGCTGCTGACATCACAGCTGATTCTGAAGGCCCTTGTGCCCCTGCTTGGCTGTGGGGGCAGGAGACTGGGAAGACTGAGGGGTGAAGCAATCCAGGGGTGTCATCAGCCAGGCAATCACCCATGCCTCAGGGGCCTGCCCACCCCCCTGGCCCCTAGTGGAAGGAGGGCGACTGGGGCAGGGGGCCTGACGCACCGCCACTCTGGTTGTAGTAGCCCATCACCGTCCACATCTCCACCTGCTGCACCTCTGCCCAGGCCTTCTGCTTCTGGGTCTCCGTCTCCCAGTAGCGGGCGTCCACGGACGCTATCCATGGGGCCTGGGGCTCGGCCCTGCCCACACGACTGTCATACCGTATGAAGGGCTGGTCGTTCACGTAGCCCACAGCCAGGAACTGGGGGAGGCCGGGGCCTGGCTCCGACAGGGCCAGGTAGTGGTAGCGGAGGGAGTGCGTCCCTGTGGAAACAGACTGTCTCAGGCTCACACAGTGTCAGGCGGACCAGGGGTCGGGTCAGAACCCACCCAGAGAATTCACTCTCTTGGGCAAGAGCAAGAACTGGCCATTTCAGTAACAAAAACAAGGCATCTGAATGGTTTAAACAATCAAACATTGAGGCAGGGCTATGCGCTGAGGCTTGTGACTTTACTCCACAACAGTTTTCAGCTCCTCTCTCCAGGCTCCTTACTCAGACCTTACATCATCCCCAGTAAAGTGTGCGTATCCGGTTTCCAATCTCACAGTTAACAAGGTGGTGGTTTTTAGAAAGTTGTTTGTTTAGAAGCTTAACTTGTGTGGAATTGTTCATTCCCCAGAGAAGCCGATAAAGGTTGACCATCATTCTTGCCTTGAACCTGGGCTGCGGAGCTGGTGGCACCTGGACTCCCCCCGCCCCCCGCTTCCACAGCAGACATTGCTAGTTGATCTCTTTAAGGCCAAATGCTGCCTCCGCTTGCTCCCTACCATGTCTCCTGAAGCACCAACTGATCCATTCACCTTGGTGCTGGAGATGAGATCAGTTTGGCAGCCAACCCCAATGTTACCGTTGTAACTAGCTAGCTGGTAATCATTGGAAAGGGGCAAGGGGCGGCCAGACATTTACATGAGTGCAGGATACGCAAGATAAAGGAATACAGCGCACCACAGGCTGGACAGCATAAGTGCTACAGGGAAAAGAGTAAGGGCATGTGAATGTTAACGGGGGGGTCTAAAGTTAGAGACAGAATGGTCACGAGTGTCCCTCTCAGGGGAACTTTTGAGTGAGA